GTAGGGTTTAGGGTTAGGGCTTGGCAGCCCTTTTTAAAATAACACAGTGTAAACGCATTTTGAATGCACTTAAAAATAACACAGTTTAGGGTTTAGGGTCGGTCAGCCCTAAACCGAAAACACATTTCAGAATGAGCCAGTTTACTTGCGTTTAGGGTTTAAGGTTTAGGCTTTGCGATCTTCATCCCCTATATGCACTTTTCAGGGTGTAGGGCTTGTCGAGGCGTTTTAACTTTTCATTCCAGATGCAATTTTAAGTTGTGGGTTTAGATCTTAACCCCTCCTCTAAACCCTTAATCCATTTTGTAATTTGAATGCAATTGAAAATGTGCCAGTTTAGGGTTTATTGCGGGTCAGCCCTACCCTGTAAACGCATTTCGAAAGAATCAAAGCTATACCCTAAAATTAGGCCTAAATGCATTTTCAAAATGGGCCTCAGGAGGGTAGCAATTCGCAGTTCTAATTAGAAATATTGTATTCCAGGACAAGCGCTAATAATACACGAGTTAGTGATCGTCGTGAGACGTGAGACAAGACAAAAGTGCCCCGATGATGAGCATTAAGGAGTGATGATGACACAAGGAATGCAGACATTGCCTGACATGACAAGACAGAGATACACGACCACTGCTGAAAGATGGCGAAAGCCATTGAAGTTGATTGAACTCTCTCTCTTTTTTCATGTCCAACATGGATTTACAGGTTTTTATTTTTTATTTTTATTTTTATTTTTATTTTTATTTTTTTTCCCAGAATATGCAAAGGCTGAATCTCAATTTTTCACTGAAAAAAAACTGATTTGCTCATCGAAATGATTACTAATCTAAATTATCTAAGTGATCTCCCATTATTGCAGATGTTGGAGGCGAGTTTCGAACTCGTGACCTCTTATTATTTACCTAACAACTAATCTCAGGTTTAAAAAGGTACGTGCCTGGGATCGATTCTTGAAATCGCAGATTTCGAAAGAACGTACATGTTCGGCATCGGGGAAAAAAAAATAATAATAAAAAAAAAAAATCTCATCCCAGCAGCCAACGTCATCTGAAAGGGAATCTCAGAGAGTAAACAAGTATAATTATTCCCACAGCCTCTGTTTTTTTTTTTTTTTTTCAGAATTCCTTGAGCCTGAAAAGTGCATCCCAGATCATAAGCTTTTTTTTTTTCATAACTATTTTTGAAAGATTTCCAGAAATTTTCACTTATTTTAAAGCTAGTTGACTTGATGGAGAAGAAATCTTTCAAAACAGTTGATTGGATGTTTCAGCGAAGTATCTCGGAAACAAGTTGATTGGTAACCTCTCTGAGAATCCATCACCTGGCTTAACAATATCGTGACAGTTGATTGGAATTGGATTACTCAACAAGTAATAACTTATAAGTTATAAGTAAGTAATCAAGATCCCGCCGAAAATCCATTGAATTACTAATTAGTAATTAGTTACTAATTATTACTAATTACTAATTACTAATTAGTAAACAGTTATACGAACTAGCTATCAGCAATTAACAATTAATCAACATCCTGCTCAAAGCCTCAAAGTTGATTGGATTTTGTTTAGCAACAAAACACAATCAGGGCATAGTACTCACACTACCGTCCTAACCTGAAAACAACGTACGGACTATGTACCTTGTATTCGAATACAAGGTACGGGGTACCTTGTATTCGAATACAAGGTACGCACCTTGTAGAACGAATTTTTTGAGGATGCAACTTTCCTAGGCAAGGGGGGGGGAAAGAAGAAGTGTACGGTAAATATTGGTAATAATATCAGGAATAGAACACAATCGACTGCTACCAGGACGGGGTTGCAGCGTGAAGTTCGTTTTTTTTTTTGTTTTTTTTTTTTAAATTTAAAGAACACATTCACTACGCTGCGTGCTCACAATCCGGCATGCATTCGAACGTTACGTGTGCTTGATTGTTTGTGTGTGTGTTTGTGTGTGTGT